CACGACACACAACAACACACACACACACACACACAACACAACACACACACACACAACACAACACAACACACACACATATATATATATATATATATATAGACATATATGTATATATACAAACAAACACAAAAATTACATATATATATATACAAACAAACATACACACACAAATTTATATCTATATATACATACATATATATATATACATACATACACACACACACACACACACGCATATATATATGTATATAAACACAGACACATACACAAACACAGACACAGACACACACTCACATATATATATTTATACATAGGTTCGCACACGCAATCATAAACACAGACACACAGACATATATACACAGACACAGACACAGGCACAGAAACAGACACAGACACAGACACACACACACACACATATATATATCTGTGTAATTTATTCGTACACTCAAACATCCACAGCCAATACCCATACCAATGCAGTATACATACACGTTCCTATACACACACCCCCACTTACCGGCCTCTTCCATGCCGTCCTCCTTCTGCTGCGCCTGATCCAGCAGATACTCATAGTGAGCTAAGCATTGCCCCCCCGTCCGGCCAATCATCGGTGCAATGGTACGCCATTGCGTAGGGAACAACTTGGCCAGGTGCAGAAGCTTCTCTTCTTCCTCTCGTGTCCATTCCGTTTTCTTTATACTCGGATCAAGCCATTCATACCATCTGGCTTTGCACTGTTTGGCTGTCTTACGGTGCAGCAGAGACGCAATACGGGCCCATTGGTTCTTGCCGTATTTCATCACGGCTGCTTTGAGGATCTCATCCTCGGTGTTTTTCCACACACCTCCTTTGACTATCATACGCATAGTGAGGTGGTTTTAACAACACACACACTGAAGGTGCGTGTGTAACCAAGAAGTGCCTTGCTAGCCTAGCGTTAGTATGGTGGTCTGATATGCGTGGTTGTATGGGTGTACCAATAGAAGCGACACCACTCCCATGAGCTATGTAGGTAGATATACTTCGTAGGTACTAGCACAGCCTATTCATGCAAGTAGTAAACGTCGATATGTATTTGTATTTGTATATGTATGTATATATATATATGTAACCATCAACATATGATTTATTTACGCGATAGTTGGCATCAGTAGTTTGAATACACGCGCATACAGTCTCGGAACAGTTTAACACACACATCTGTGAGATGTAATCAAATTCTGTAAAGTTTCTTTCTGGTTGAAACGTTTTACAATCAATAATTAACAGCGTATTTGCGTTAGTTAAACGTTTTGCGTGTATGCGTGCATGTATTTAGTACATGGTAGAAAATTCTGCTTTTGGCCGCATCAATGGGTGCAAAACGTACAATTAGCTTTTTTATTTTTTATTTATTTAAAATAAAGCCCCCCTCCAAATATATATAAATAAACCTGAATTGGCGCCTAAATAATGTCTACAATATAAACGTAAACGATGAAATTTCGAAATATTTACATACATCATGTATGGGGTTTATTATATAACGTTTTCAGCTTGGCAGCAAGTTCCGGTGCAGACTCCCTAGTCCACAGTCCATGTCAAACATGTAGGACGCACCCATAGTAAACATTTAACGTAAACGTGGAATAAATACGTTACAACGTAAAATGTGATGGTTTCAGTCCTCCAGGTGCCGTTACCGTTTAATAATTTAAAAAAATAAGCCTAGTCCACATGTTTTTAACGGATTCGGACTTCCCGACTTCCCGTTCAGATTTCTGATGGGGCTCATATTTACTATGAGTAGGCGAGACAAAAGGTTGACTGAATTACTGTAGGAAGCTTAGGGTTTAATGTGCCTAAAAACCCTAGACCCTGGCTATAGTGAAGACATAGCCAACAAATATCAAAAATAGTGGTCACTCTATTAGACTGAGACTACATAAGTACACGGGGAGTTTAAAACGGACTTAAATACATTTCTTAATACTTTAGCCTAATAAATAGAGCGCGGTAATCTCTAGTAGTAGTGATGAGCGAGTCCCCAGTCCAGTCCCGTGACCCGTCCACCCGTCCACCCCGGACGCGTACAAGGCCATTTTACTTTTATACTTGTATTATATTTTCTAGAATATTGCCTTCACGATTCAGATATATCCAGATCAAAATTCCAAATAAGTATTATGTATTCCTCAGAACTCATTTAGAACAGTAATAAATATACTAGTAGTGCGTCTGATAGTGTTTCGGGGTATATATGCATACTATTAGGGACTTACTTGTACATTGAAACATTCTACATACCCCCATGCTACTACAGAGCTTAGTACTATTGTAAGTGTATTCTCAAGATGCTAAGACGTACAGCCTTAAAGACAACAAAAGGGCTCAGCAGCGCCATCGGACTGGGTCAAACGAGGTACGAGCAATACACTAGAGAATATGTGTGTCAGCGGTAACTATGAGTTACATCTGTACATCAAACATTTTATACATACATACATACACACACGCATATATATATATATATATATATATATATTTAAATGTATATTCATATTAGACATACATACATACATACATACATACATACATATATATACATACAGACATACATACATACATATATTAATATATATATATATATATATATACTCACACACACACACACACACACACACACACACATATATATATATATAAATACATATATATATATACATATTAAATTATTGCACTATTATATCTGAATACATACACATACACTTTTTATACATGTCATAGTCCGTCCACAGTATCTCTTTCTGCTAGAACATGTCTGTTTGTCGTATAGATTACGGAAACCAATGAAAGTACCTTTCCCTTAACAGTCATGGTGTTTGTATATACCTCTTGCAAGTATATATAGATGACAGTCTTCGTTCCCTGTGTAGTTTGCAGAGGTGAGCATGACCCTTTACTTACTACTTAGTCATTCGAGCCCAGCATTCACCGATATATTCTACCTACAACACACCTGTTTGCTATACAATGTACTGACTTCCATTGCCAGCACTTAGGAAGGCGCAGGATGCCACTACCAATCATGAATCAGTCTGATATGGCTGGCACCTATTCATACCACACATGTATATATAACTGGCACCTACTTGTACCACACATGTATATATAGCTGGCACCTATTTATACCACACATGTATATATAACTGGTACCTATTTCTACCACACATGTATATGTAACTGGCACCTATTTATACCACACATGTATATGTAACTGGTACCTATTTATACCACACATGTATATATAACTGGCATCTATTAATACCACGCATGTATATCTAACTGGCACCTGTTCATACCACACATGTATATATAGCTGGCACCTGTTCATACTACATATACATATATATATTGCTGGCACCTATTTATGCCACACATGGATATATAGCTTTCATCTATTTATACCACATATGTATATATAGCTGACACCTATTCCTACCACACATGTATATATAGCTGACACCTATTCATACCACACATATAACCCCTGGGCGTAGGCTCCTGAACACCTGTGGAAGAAAATCCAAGTGTGGAGAGTATGACTATGATTTAGTTATCATTGGCGGGGGCTCTGCTGGGTACGCAGCCGCCTCGCGGGCGTGGGATTTGGGAGCAAATGTCCTGGTGGTAGAACAGAAGTGGCTGGGTGGGGCTGGTATGGACCTCAGTGTGCATATGGGATGATACGTATACACACACACACGCGTATATATATATATATATATATATATATTATATATATATATATATATATATATATATGTATATATATTATATTATTATTATATTTATGCATATATACATACACACACACACACACACACACACACACAC